TTCTAGATTGCAAGGCAAGATGTATCCAATCGCCATCTGTTAGAGGTGTGGCAGTTATGTTCTGTTAATTAGGCAGTTTTCTTTATCTCTTCCACAAACCAATCCTCTGCCCCAGGGAGACATCTGCTGTTGACAGTCTATTGAATGTCACTGCATGACAGATAAAGTGGCAGCATCCCATTGTGAGATGCTCTGCCCAGAGGGAGGAGCGAAGCTTTCCTACCTGGATATAATCTTGAGTTTCTGGAACACCAGCACAGCTTTTTCTGCATTGGATTTCCCAGAGGAACAGCTGCCTCTTCCACTGCAGGAAGACTACACCCCTTTTTTACAGGATCAGTGCTCCAACAGAACCACACCTGACACTCCAGGAGGACTACAGCCATAATTCCCAATTGGACTGCTGACTAACAGGGCGTCAGGTTGTATTCTGACTCTGTCAGTGTTGTTTTGGTTCACTGCCTTGTTTATTTTATTTTTTTATTTTCTTCCCTAATAAAGAACTGTTATTCCTGCTCCCATATTTTTGCCTGAGAGTCCCCCTTCATTTCAAATGTATAACAATTTGGAGGGAGGTATACATTTTTTTTTTGCCATTTCAGGGGAGGCTCCTGCCTTCCTGAACAGACACCTGTCTTTCCAAACCAAGACGTCATTAAATTTCATGGGTAGGAAAAATACATGAAGCATACTGTGTGAAAAATAAATTACTCTGGCAGTGATGTTAGTATGGTATTAGGTAGTGGCCCTGAGTAGGTTTACAGGTCAAACAACCTGAATGTTACAGAAAGCAGGTGAGGTTTGGTGAAAGTAAAAGATTATGGCATTGAGACAAAAACAGGAGAAGCCTTAAATTTCCATATTGAGGCATATTAGTTAGGCAGCTTAATAACTTATGGGAAGAACTGTAGGTATTAATTGTAGGATATCACTTTAACCCTCTTAGTATCACTAACCTAATAATCAAACAAGCATACACTTAAATGTGTTTCACTTCAGGATATGTTGGTTGAACGTCCCAAGAATTAAAAAGGGATACCTTAAAAAAAGATTCAAGAAAATATCTCCTTTGTCATATATTCAAAGTAGGAAAGTTGATATTGCTTCCTTTGGCCCATACAAGTGTCACAATTAGGCCAATTGTGTCCACACTAAAAGCTACATTACTGTAATTTAAGTAGATACAAGACTCTAAACTGTGGTAACAGAAGAATATGGTTCTGTGAGGCACAATGGGATTTGGAGATATCATCAGCTACTTAGATCCCACAGAAGAGTACATAGCTGTAGGTTTGCTTTTATCACTTTAAAAGATATTAGGGTGCTCAAAAGTAGATCAAAGCAGATATTTTTTTACATAAATTAGTAGAAAACTTCACACAGACAGTAAAAATGATGGGTTTACATTATTTCAAGGACACACACATTGTCAGAACTGGAAAAATATCTTTCTAGTAATATAAAAGAATGAAGATAGTCTAGAGAAAAAATAACTAATATATGAAATTGCTAGCTCTACAAGCCAATCAGGCAGGCTAATTTCTATTTTATTCCGACTCTCTCTGGTTACTAACATTTCTTTTCAAAACAGGAAATACAGGTAAAAGTGTTAGTTGTTGGTAAAAGTGTTAGTTAGTTAAATAACAAAAAGTATGTAAAAATCCAAGACTAATTTTGGTAAAAAAAATTTAAAAGAAGATGCAATACGGGATTCTTCATAAAAAAAAAAAAAAAGTAATATTGTTTTTTCATAGTATTCTTTGCGTGAATTCTGACCTAGCCCAAATAGTAGAAAATTATGCAGAGAGAGCTAGTAGAGACAAAGTAACTAAAAGAGGATTTTTGTTAGTGGCGGAGTATCAGAAATAAAGTTGTGCAAGCATTTGAAGGCTGAAACATTCAGCAAGCACTCAAAAACTGTCTGGAAACTGTGTTCTGAGGACCCCTGGCAATCTGCTTTGCATCTTATTTTATAACTGGGAGAGTAAAAGGAAATATTGTACTGACAAAATGTTTTACTGAGTTTCTGGGAGATAATCTTGCAATATGACAGTGAGTCTGTGCTCCACTTGGCCTTTATATGAGAGGGGATGGCTTTGAGGTCCTTGAAAAAATATTTTGAATATGCTTTTCCCCCCATCTGCTTTATCTGATTGCAGAAACTCAATCACTTGAAATTCAGAGAATGGCAGTTTTGAGACTTCATAATGCAACTAGTATTTCTTAAGTATAACTACAGTTATTATCTTGTATTCCCATGACTGCAAGAAATGTGACATGGCATGATAACATGCAACTGGACAAACATGACTTGTGAGGGTGCAAAATCAGTAGCTGATCAAACACAATACTGTGAAGTTAAAAGGGCCACAATTCTATACTTCTTCCACAAATTTAGCAATTTTTTTCTTTAAAATGGTTGTTTTCTTTAAAATAGTGTCTCTGCAAGGTATTCCAGTTACAACTTTATTATATTCTTCTGTAATAAATATCCTTATTTTTCTCCTAGAATATGATTTCCTATTCCTCCTCTACAATTAGGATCAGAAAGGGACTTCCTAGTTAATCAGTTCTCATTTCTTTATCCTGGTTATAACTTGATCAAGATCCATTTGTAATTTTAAAATTCTGTAAATCTATTACTAGTTTGTTCCAAAAACTCACCTCTCTGAAGATTCTAAGCCTTCTAATGTCAAAGAGAAAATTAATTAATTGAAGAGAAAATAAATTGTAGTCGGTTTGCTCATTTGTTCTGAAAGTGTCTGTTGCATTTTGTCTTTTTCCTTATGGTTGCATATTTCATGAAGCACCTCAACTTTTTAACTTGAACAAGCTCGTTTCATTCATTTTTTGTAGAAAATAAACTTCTCTGTAATATTTCTGCATATTTTATCCAGTGAAAGTGATTTCATCTGAAGTCGAGGATACAAGTGGTACACCATATAGAATAACATAGAAAATAGTTTTAGAAGGTACCTCTACTTCAATACACACGTAAATTGTTGATCATATTTGCATTTTTGATGAGCATTTTTGGTCTAGGCAAATTTACCACACAGCATTTTCTTTCTTTTTTTTATCTGAGCACTATAGATACTATTGTAGAAACCACTAACATTTTTCCATTTTCAGGTACGCTTTGTATCTAGTCTTAAATGCTAAGAACTTAAACTTCTGTTATGGCTTTAGATACTGTCTCAGAGTAAAGCAGTTTATAAAAGCTGAGTAAATCTTCTGCATTTTTCTGTAAATTGCTTTTTGGTGACACAACCATCCCAAAGATATTCTCTCTTCCTGTCCCTGTAGGTTTCTCCTAAAATCTGTACACTAGTAAGTTCAACCCAATTTAATTTCCTTGATTATTCAATTCCCTAATTAATTTTCAGATTAGACCTACATTGGACACCACAATGTACCCTTCTCTCCAGTTTTCTTAAAAATGTTGTTGGCTTCATCTGAACACACTTTTTTTTTCATATCAAGATCCGCTAGCTTCTCTTTTTGCCTTCCGTTCTGTCACCTTCCTGTGGTGATAAAACAACACCACCAGTTGGTAGAGTGACAACTAGATGAAGGTAACAACAAACCTAGCTGATCTGACAGATGAAAGGAGGTTTTAATGTCTTATTAGCAGGATAAAAATTAAGCAATTTCATGGGTTACTCTTACTATACAAGCATGTAGGCACTCTAGCAAAGATCAGGATGTTATTTCAAATTGCATGTCCCACTTTACTATAATTAGGAGGATACAAAAGAAAACAAAAAAATGGAAACACAAAAATAAGTTCCTTTAAACTTCCTGGTGTGCCAGCAGGTTTAGGCACATTCTTAGACCTCTCATGAAACAATATTATGGATTAAAGCCTGAAATTATAATTAATTTCAGGTCTTGAGATCAAGTGACCAACAGAGGAATGCTTCACTGGGAAGTAGCTTTCTGCACTCCCCTGGGCTTGGGAAGGTCACTTCTGGCTGTGGATGTGGGACAGCACCTTGGAGGGACCCTGAGGTGTCCAAGTAGGAGGATGGAGAAGACCCAGGGAAGTCCATGCCCCTCCAGCTCTAGCCACCACACACTGTCCCTACAAGATGCTGCAGAAACAGCAATAACAGCTAATTTTCCATTTTCAACCTATCTATTTGAATAAATAGAAACATATTCTCTTGTCTAACTTGTTTTTTTTTACAGAAGAATGCCTCCATTAAGTTTCTGTGTTGTTACATAAATACTAGAAAATGTGTGCTTGTATCTAAGAACAAGTTGGGAATTCAAGATGATGCCCTGGCTGTCACTCTGAAATCACAGTCACTGCTGATGTCTCTGGTTTCAATGTCTTGGACTCTTTAAAGGGGAAGGATTTTCAGGACTAACTTGTACTGCCCAGAGATGAACATCAGTAGTGAAAGCTCTCAGCCTGGATCCCCAGACTCTCTCCCAGTTATGTTTGTGGAGATGAGTCAATTTATACTAAATGCAAACAAACTCAGACTTTCTTATGCCATTCACAAATTGTCACGATTGATGTCTGCAGCTGAGTCAATGTGTTTCATGACTGGGATCTCCGGCACGTGGAAACTTTCTGAGGTACAGGAAGATAATAATACTTCAAAAGGATAGCATTTGTATGCGTCCAGAGGTTCTGTTGTGGGCAAATCATATTGCCTCAAATGGGAAAGTACCGTATCCGGTACATTTTGCAACTTTTCCCTTTTTGCAACACTTAGAACATTTTAAAGTCTTTGGGATTGTCCATTTTCTCAAAAGGAACATTCCTGTTGGCTTTTCTGAGTTGGTTGATATTTTTTTCGTGACGCCTGTTTCTGTTTTCCCCCTCGAAGGAAGGCCGCAGAGCGCAGGCCGGCCCCGCGGCGCAGGGAGCCGCTGAGGGCCGCGGCAGCGCGGGCGGGCCGGGGCGGGGCCGGGCCGCCCCGCGGCTATTTAGCGAGCGCTGGCGCGGGGGCCGCTGGCAGCCGCGGCCGGCCAGCGCGTTGGGGGTCATGGAGCGCGGTGCCATCCAGAACCCGGCCCTGGAGCCGCCCGGCTCCGACTTCGGGCGGCCGAGCCGGGCGGGCGGCGCGGCCCCCGCCGGGCCCGGCCCTTGCCCCGAGGAGGGACCCTGCGGGTGGGGCCGCTGCACCCCCCGAGTCCTGCAGCCCTGCAACAATGCCCAGGGGTACTTGGCTGCCTACAGCCTGTTGGCCGTCTTCCAAGGTAACCTGTCCCGGCTGCCCAGGAGGCGCTGCTCCCCGTCCCGGGCTGCGGGGAGCCCCGCTGGCAAAGGCTGATGTTTTGGGTGCTGGGTATGGAGAGACAGGGTTCCTGTAGTGCTGCGGCTGAACAGTGACGGTAATGGTTTGACTAGGGGAAGAAAGTCTACTTTCTTCTGTGCCCTGGGGGATGGGGAAGTTGCACAATATTCCTCCTTTTACTTCACTCTGTCCTTTTTCTTTTGCCACATACTTTACCACTGCTGAGTCCACGCACCTTCGTGCAGGGATGCAGCAGTGACAAGCGCATCAAGTGCATCAAGCAAAATGCATCTTTGCTTGATGCTCTTGTCACTGCTGCATCCCTGCTGACCACAGGGAAGTGGTGCTTCATATGCGCACACAGGCAGAGACTTAACAAACAGGGATTAAAACACCAATAAAAATACAAAACTGTAGCACCCCACTACTGTCTTACCTCTTGCTAATTGAAACGCTATGCTGGCCTGGTTGGGTAGGACTTTGGGTAAACTTGAAAACAGCAAAAACACCTGATTTTGTTCTGTGAATCCAGTGCAGCCATCTTCTTAAAACTTAACTAGGGATTTAAGGTGACCTTGAGAGTAACCTGAAGTTTAGCTTGCCCTAAATTCCTGTTCAGCTTCAAGATTCTTGTCCATATTTTTGGTTTTCTGTAATGATTGGTTAAGGCCTTAGCAAGCCTCAGACTTGGTAGAAATATTGACTGAGGGGAGGAGAAGAATTACTGTAAAAAACATAAAAAATTGAGGTTTGTGAAGCTTGGATACTTGTCTGGCAGAAGGAGTGATTTGGTCTATATTCATAACCTTTCAACTTTATTTGACTAGCTAGGAAAGAAAAGGTGTTTCCTGAGTCATTTGCTTTGAAGCTGCTTGTTAATCATAAAGGGATTTCTTACAGAGGTATGGAGGGGAATGCTGGATATTTGATGTTAGAGGAGGGAGCAGCCTACACCAAACAAATGTGCAGTTTGGATGGCTCCATTCCGTGAGGAATCACACTGAGTCAACTGGAATGGTATGAGGAGAAGAGAATTGGAGACTGCTTAAAACCTAGAAGGATTTTAGTGATGCTTGGGGAGTCTTTGCATGAACTAGTGCCTTAGTATGTGTTTCTCTGAACTTTTTCTAATTTTATCCCCTTCAGATTCTGATCTTGTCTTAGCATATAGTTTTAGAAAATAAATATTTAGAAAGTTTTGGGATAAGCCTGTTGTTTCTTGCTTGAATTTGAAAGGTCATGCTACAGCTGGTAGAGTCAGAAGATGATTCCTGTTGCAGTTGTCCTTCCAAATTTGTTTTCCCTATAAATAAAAACAGGGAGTGTGTCTGTTGAAGAACTTCTTGCATCATAGGTTTCAATAGTACCTGAGTAGTAGAAGACTTTTAGAATACACGTATAAATATTTTGGGTGGCATAGGAATAGGGATAGGCAATTAAAAATGCCCTGAATATGACACTGAAGAGATTGTTAAACTAAAGATAGTGTCTTGAATATTTCTAATGTGTATAAATGTCTTTAAATCAGTCCTTCTGTTCTTATCTCATTGTTGAGCTGAATAACAAACTCAGCATGCTTTAAAATCTTGGTTGTAGTCTCGATAGGTTCCCAACCAAAAACCAGCTTGTATTATAAGAATCTCTGTCCCCTTAGGAGGTTATTTGTGTTACTTGTGCTTCTGTTGTCTAACTCTATATGTATGTCAGGTGCCTAAAGAATCTAGTTCAGGTTTAGGGCCTTAAAGGACAGAAACTTAGGATGTTTGTTTTGGAAGCAGGTGTAGGCATGACTATTACAGATCTTGTGACATTCCTGATGTGTTACCTGGATTCTCTGACAAGAACTTTTCCTGTAGTTAAAACATGAAGGAAGCTGGGTGCTGAAGACAAGCTGCAATTCTTTTTGAGATGTGGGAAAAACAAGGTTTGTCAGCAAGAAGTTCAGGCTTGTGTGTGAAACTTTGTGAAAATATTCAGATCTTGCAGCTTCAGAGTTTAGATAAAAGCATACAAAACACTACAGGATTTTGACGTTGTGACCTAATACTGTACTCTAGCTTGGGTCTAATAATTTGATTTACCCTCCAAATTACAGAAACAGTCACTGAGGAAGATATATCTATTAAACTTGTCTAATGCACCTCTAGAAAAGATTATTTCTTAATGTGTTGAAGATTAATGAAGTAATCCATAATACAGTTTTGCTGAATGTAAGTTGTTGTGCTAGACTTTTTAAATGAGTGAACATAGTGAATGATTATCTGTAGTGACATGGTATGTTGTGAATCTAACTGAAAGCATGTATTTGTCAGAATATTTTCTAGCTGCTCTCAAAAATAGATTGGTGTCATTAGCACCTGATATGCTGTACTGCAGCTTCCCAGAAGATTTCAAGTGGAACTTAACTCTAATTTTTGGCCCTTTTCATTTTAAGTACATGTAAAACCTGTATTTCCAGAATTCAAAACACTTCTTTGCCTAGAATTTTTTTACATGACTAATACCTACTTTCTGTATGGCACTTAAGAGTTGCCTAAATGTATTATTGCATCTAGTAATACATTAACTGGGTGTCCTGCAGTTCATAGCTGTACAAGAAAACAAGGTAGAGATTATCTCACTATTTTGAGTACAAGAAGGACTGTTTATTTCTCATGTCATTAATAATTTTTAGTAAGTAAAATAACTGAACCATAGTTTAAGACTGTCAGTCTAATCTTCCTAAAATCTTTGAATATCACTAATATTTTATAGGCTGATTAGACTTGGTACTTTTACCAAGGCATTTTTAATTGTTATTTTTATGTGCTCGTTGTAAAAGCCACCATTCTTATGACAACTGCAAAACATGTATTTTTGTTGAGTGGATGAAGAAAAAGAATACTCCTGTGTTTTGTGATAGCAAATAAAGTTGGTTTATAATTAATCTGGATTTTATGCGTCAGTACACACTGTACCTAAATCTCTACCACATGTGGCAGGAGACCAAGGTTTTGGTTGGTAATTTCTATGCTATAATTTTAAGTGTTGGGATGTCCTTACAGAATTTACTTTTCAGATCAAGTTAGTATCAGCCAAGTTCTGTCTTTTTTGAACATACTTTAGTGATTAATCACTGGATGATGTAATTGGAGAAGTTATGCTGCCATTCATCACATCTGCATTTATGCAGATCAAATGGAAGATTTTATGGCTTTTAGAATTTAAATTAAAGGTAGCAGCTTAAAATACCTGTAAAAGACAATGCCTTCTGGCTCTAATCCATTTGCTGTGTAGCACACCTTCATTCAAGTGTTTTAAAGCCTTAGTCAATGTTTGAGTTCTGGCAGATGGGAAAAATTTGTTTGTTCATTCCTTCATGCTAGTATTGTTCTTGGCTAATGCTTCTTAAGAGGAAAATAAAGTTGCTGAATGTGTAACTAATGGCACTGGAAGGACACCTGAATACTTGTGTCAATCCCATATGAGTTAAGTGTAAGTCAGTAAACTGACAGGTGAAATTGTCAGCCTTAATAAAGAGGCCATAGTAGGGTACTGGAACTAAAATTGTGCCAAGAGTTGTTTCCATATAGAAAGCTGAAGTTTGGCTATTAGAAAAGAGCTGGTTTATTTGGAGTAGATTTTTTAAATACATTAAAGTCCTCTAAGGAGACGTTGAAGCTTAGCTCAAGTAGTTGTACTTATGGATGGTGCAATGCATGTCAAAAACTAACTTAAATGCATTTCTGTCACTAGTCTTGTGTTCCCTTCTTAGACAGACAATAGAAAATCATGTTTTCATTTTAGAGTAACTATAGGGCCTGTGTCAGGGCAGATCCTCATCAGTCATCTGTAGGTTTAAAGAACTCAGACATATTTATACCACTGACTCTAAGACTTCACAATATATTTTATTATAGGCACAATTTAATTAGACTATGATAAAGTTATCTGATGGTGTTACAATTACAGCTATTTATCTTATAACTGAATCCTATTTTGGAACTTCTAAAACCAAATTCATGAAAGTTTAACTACCTAGTGTTTTCCACAGAAACAGAATGTGAAGCAGTGTAGAAGATTTAAGTTGGTCGACAAACAGCACTTTTGTAAAAATGGACAAACAACGTGTTTAAGCATGCACTGGCAGGTGTAGCTTAGTTGTACTTTCAGTTATTTTTTTCTTGTAGTTCACCTGTGCTTTGGTAGGGCAGCTTGTGTGATGACTTCTTTCCAGGTTGTTCTGTAACTTCATGGAAGTTACAGATTCAAGGGGCAAACCTTCTTTGCTCAGTTGAAGTAAATCACCTCAGTTGCTCTGAAACAGTTGCAAAGAATTATTGCATAGCTTTACACTTTTTTATATTATACAGGATGCATGTTTATTCACCTTCTTTTATCTTCCCTTTGTGGTGGCAGGGAGTTAGTTGGTTGCAGTAAGTTGAAAACTATATCCTGAACTTGCTTCAGTCATAGCATGTGTTCTAATGCAAGTTACAACCTTGACTAAAATACCTTCAATTTTTGAAATATCTTACGACACTGTAATGCATTCCATTTGAGCTCTGTGCTTCAGACAAATATATAGGTCCTGTGCAATTTGACTGGCTAAGCTGGTGCTGTATTGTACCTGTATCTACTTGTATTTTACAGCTAATAAATACCTTATAAAGCAGCCTTGTATAAATATATATTAATTTTAACCTTTCCATCATGCAACTCTATTGAATTAAAGTATCTTTGACTAATTATCTCCTTTTCTTTTATTTTTCATAGGTATTGTGGTAAATGGCCTGATTAACATTAGTATTTCAACAATTGAGAAGCGTTACGAGTTGAACAGTTCCCTCACTGGCTTAATCTCTGCAAGTTATGACATGGCTTTTTGTTTATTGTCACTGTTTGTGTCTTACTTTGGAGAAAGAGGGCACAAACCACGATGGCTTGCTTTCTCAGCATTTATGCTAGGACTGGGCTCCCTTGTATTTTCCTTACCACACTTCAGCAGTGGAAAATACCAGTATGGAGGTAAAATTGAAGGTAAGCTTATGGTTGTTTTGAAAATTACTCTAAAAAATTAAAATCTCTGTATTAACTTGGTGCAATTCATTACAGCATAGTTAATCTCTGTCAATGTCCTAAAACAGGGTGCTATCTGTAACTGAAAATTGATTCTTTGAAATCCAGAAGTCCAAGAGCCACCTCTCTGCACAGTGAACTTTATTTTTCCAGAAGCAATCTGAGTGTCAATATCAGTTCTTGCTCTTAAGCAACATTTGAATAAAAAGATTTCTTTCCTTGCCTTGATGAATGCAATTAAAATTCACTTTAAAGAAAAAATTGTCTGGCATCTCTTTGTGACTAGGAATTAAGTTAGGTCAGCAAGGTAGGAGAAATGTTAAAGCTGTTAAGACTTCCCATCATACCTGAAGGCTGTCAACTTCGCTTGCATTTCTTTGTAGTTTTGAACTATCAAAGGCATGTTGATTAATTAATTGACAAGTTTCTCTAAGTTCTTTTAAAAGATGTTGATTTTAACTTGTGGATTTGTTTGAAATAGAGGGGAAACAAGCAGTACTGAACTGTACTGAACAAAGCAATACTTAGCAATCATGGGTGTACCTATCTCTCAGTTCTTAAACTTTTCTCAGAATACAAGACTTAGCACAGTGTGATTAATGCCAATTATTTGTATGTCAGTTTAGTGGCACACCTATAATACAGAAATGTTCAGATATGTTTAAAGCAGGGTGACTTAATCTTTTCGGATTGTCTTGTTATTGCAGTCTTTAATCAAAATTATGTCTTCAATGACTAACCATATTAGAGTGCTCACTAAAAAAAATCAGTAGCTCTTAAGCAACATGATGCAAGGTTGTTGATTCTCAAATTAATATCTTCAGTAGTAATCATTTTGTCCACTTTTATGAGCTGTCTACATGTTAGTTTAAGAAGTTGGGCAAGCTATTTTTTCCTATCTAATAAATGAGGATCTGAAATGGCAATTAACTGTACTTTTAACTGAACAGGTCAGAAGAAAACACCTTTAGTGTTTTGGGGGCTATGAGCAGATAATTACTTGAAATTCCTTAATCTTGGCTCTGTTACAGTCTCATTTCCCTATAGTTTTGGTTTCAGTATTGACCTTTCTACTTCACTTTGATGAAAGGGAAGCCGAATTTAATACATAAAAGTTTAATACATAAATCTGATTTTTTTTTTCATTTGGAGCAAGATACTGTTAGGATGGGAGAGCAGATTACCAGCTATTCCAACTGATTTTACTCCTTTCAAACAATTTCAGTTGAAATCCCAAGGAACATGTTACTGTTTTATCCAACATCCATCATTGAAGGTGGCTGTATATATTGATACCTTTATTGGGGACATGTTCCACATGGTCTTTTGAAATCTAAAAGCAGTGGGGAATTTTTGAATTGGCATGTTTTTCTTCACCATAGCACTGTCAGCTGACTGCTTGCCTGCTGTTTTGACTTGTAATGGAGGTGCCTATGCTGTGTGGTGGTGAACACATTTAAGATCTTAAGCTGACTTAAAACACTATCAAAGATAAATGACTGAGAGGCAGGGAATGTCAGCACTGGGGCAGTCAATATAAATCTTCAGGTGCAGTGCAACAGCATGTCTTAACGGTCAAGTAAACCAACCACAAGATTATGGGATGTCTGGTTTAGCTAGTTCTGAGGTTGATGAAACACTATTAGCTGCAGAATTTAATAGCACCACACCCCAAAAGCATTCCTTTTAATTATTTGTGTGAGTTGCTTATAGCAATGCTCTTTTTTTTTTTTTAATTAAGCTTGTATTTGATGCTTTGTATTAAAATCTAACACTTATTTCTGAACAGGTCTTGTTACTAATTGGTTACTTGATTATTAATGTTTGTTCTATGTCAGTACAGTGAATTTTACATGCAGGATAACTTTAAAGTAGAGTTCAATTAATATTTAATGTGGATACCATATTAATTAGTAAGTCTAGTCTGAAATACAAAATACATCTAGCCTCCAGCATAAGTCTTACTGGATCTTACTGGAATTTCCTTTTATTCTGAGTATACACATATCCTACTCTACAAATCTATTTCATAATTTATTTATCATAATATCTCTTCCTAGAAATAGTTTAACCCATTTCATATTAAAAGATTTGCTAATCAATTGTCTGCCTATTGTTTTGGGGTTTTTTTGGGTTTTTTTTTTTTTTTTGGGGGGGGGGTTTGTTTGGTTTTTGTTGTTGTTTTTGTTTTTCAAGCCACGGTAAAAATGCATTTTCTATTTTCCAGAAAGGTTTTAGGCTCAAATTTGTATCCAGAGTATGATCAGCAGTTTGTTCTGGTAACATTCCCAGGTTGCATGGGCTGCCAGTGCCATAGCTGGCTCTGGTGTGTGCAGTCAGGAGTTCCCCCTGCTGGTGCATCCTTAACAGAATCAACTTAATTGATTAATTATCACAGAGGACTGTGAAAACTGCAGATATTATAAGCAATATACTTTTAAACTTCAGTCTTGGATTTTATTTTAAAAATTAAGCATGTTTCAATATGTCTGTGATAGCAAATGTGCATCCTGGTTTCTCACAAGGAAAATAACTTCATTGTGAAGACAGTCAGACACCGGGACAGATTACCCAGGATACTTCCTAAGTTGAAAGGAAGGAAAACTTAATTTAAAACACTCTTCCTTTTGAAGTGAGGTTTTCTTATCCCACATGTTGGCCTCTTTCTGTTCAATGACACTGTATCACTTATTGTCTGCTACAGGAAGTAATGATTTAGATAAGATTTCTTTACCTAGTGTGTGGCCTTCTGTAATTACACTTTGTTTTGTGAGCCCATAGTGTGGATTGAATCTTGCCTTTTCTTTGCATAAGTAAAAAGGGTTCTCAGATGTAAAAGGATCTAAGGAAAATAAAGGCTGTAATAATTTTGCAGTGAAATAGTGTGAATTAATCAGTCTACTTATCTGACCTGGATGACATTTTCATATATTTGTTTAGTGGGGCTCATTACTACCAAACTGATGGGTTTATCCTCTTTATGGTTTCATGTACTTGCGTGGAAAACCATGGAAATGTTTCTCTTACCTCTTGTCTCTTGGTATTCTGCTACCAAGAGTGCAATGATGGCAAAAGAAAGGAGAAGACAATACAGTACTCCCTGTTTTGAGTTTGTCTTTTTTCTTCCTTGTAGTACCAAATACTACAGCAGCAGACACAACCTTATCCTGCTGTACCACTACTTTTCTCTTTGTGTGTATGCACAAGTGCAGAGGCTTTATATTAACTTCTCCTTTTAGAGGCATAGCAGTGTGTGTTCTGTGAGAGAGTGGTGTAGGTTTTTTAGGTTTTTCCCTTCTTCATAGGCAAACACTTCTCAAAGACTGAATGTAAAGGGAGAATTATCTTTTGTAATGACAGACTGCACTTTCTGTCAGGCAGATTTCCTCAGGTTGTGCAGGCTGCTCTGTCACTTCCACCTAAGAGTGGAAGTTGTTAATGCTCCTCAGAATTGTTATAAGGTGCAAAAATACAATGAGGTGTCTGTTACATGGGAGTACTTATAACCTGTGGAATGACCCATTTTGACAGGTGGTTGGTTGATTTTTTCATACATCTGGTCAATAATACTTTCAACAAGCCAAAGCATATTTATAAGGTAATTTCATTCCTGTTGCCCAAGCATATTTATAAGGCTATTTCAATCTTGTTTCAATCTTGTTTCTTCCTGGAGATGAAACAAAAACCAAGCTCTTCTAGTATTTCTTTTGGGATATGATACCATAGAAGGCTTGGCACTGCAAATTTTGGATATATTAATAGGTGTGAAAATTAAAATGGGAGCCTGACATAACAGCATTTTTTGTAGTTTAGCTTTCAGTACAGATTATTCTTCAAGTTGGACTGTGAGTTAAGTAACAGAATTGTAAAGTCTTGCTGTCTCTGTTTTTCAGACACATGTCGAACTGCAGAAACCACTTTTGCTAATGCCACTTGCAGTGCCAGCAAAAACTCTTCACTTCGCAAGTATCTGTATGTCTTTATCCTTGGACAGCTGCTGCTGGGAATTGGAGGAACTCCTCTATATACTTTAGGGACAACTTTTATTGATGACAGTGTCCCAAAACACAAGTCTTCCCTTTATATAGGTAAATTTAAAACTGTTTATAGAACATTGTCTGGACAGATCATAGACTGCAATGCATTCTAAGTGTTTTTATGAATTCCTCTGATTAAACAATCTTGCAATTGTTATTTACATTCATAAAGTATTTCTACATCAGTTACTGAAATGTAGATATTATTCTGCTCCATGTACCAAGTCTTTTGAATTTTCATGGTGAAGGTATTTTGAGCACTCTCGTGTCACCTTTTCATGTCAGTAACTGAAAATTGTTAAATGGTTCATGTAGCGTGTCTGTTAACAGCAGAATAAATTGTCGCAAAAAACTTATTAGTCACAGGTGTTGAAAAATACTGTGTATGAGTCAGGTCAGTAGCTAGATAATACATCCTTTAATAATTTTATTTACTTACCTTCTAATAGTAGGCTGTCCACTTAGTGCATTAACACTGGTGTGCCTTATGTGATCAATCCAGTTCTCTAGCCAGATATAAATTCAGCACTTGGCTGTACTGGAAGTACAGAGATTGCTTCACTGGGGCTGTTTAAAAGTAAGGAGTACTAATACTTAGCAACAGTTTTTAATCTTTTTCAGTCACCATTCTCTAGGTTATGTGCCATTTTATTGCTAAGTTCATTGCAGTCTAAGTGTGTTTTCTGTGGGTATAAAGATACTTATTTGCCCCATCTCATATGTAAGCTGAATAAAAACTTATTACCTATACTTTTAACTTGCAGGAGGAATTCAAAACATCTCAGATTCCAGGACTGTTTTCAGACTAAAACAACATTTTAAGGGGCAAAATTGAAATAATTATTTGTTTGTATGCAAATGTTGAACAGTTTTCCCAGGCAAGCTACTTCATTTGATGCCAACAAACAGGATAGGTGCCTGTGGCAACTCTTAGATGAAAAAGACAAGTTTTAGTTTTGCTGCTTCTTTATTTTGAGAGAGATAGTATTACATTTTTTCTTCCTTCCCTGAATCCAGTGAAATAAATAGACCAGAATTAGGGTTGTCTGCATAACTGGAGGAACAAGACCTGAAAACTCAGGAGAATAGTGTCAGTGTTCATACTTAAAAAAAAGACCAATACAATAAACTAATTCATGAACAATCTTCAGGCAACTGAGTTGAGTTCAGAAGAGAACTACATTCCAGTTTTGTTATATTAGGCAGAATACAAATGAGTGGATAGGTAACTAAGCCTTGATTATTTTTCTTTATTCATGCAGAGTACTGTGTTTAAGTATGTTGTGTTGCTTTACCTTATACAAGAAGGCTTATGCAATGCAGGAAAAAAACAAAACCCAAGAAAACAAACCATAACCCCAAAATAAGCCCAGAACCCACCCCTAAAATGGTCCATAAATAGCTGCTAGTACCTTTTGCTGTAACCCTGCAACTCATAAGTTGGTATTTGCTTTCTCCTCTACACTGGGTGCATTTTCACAAGGAATGGGACATCTACAACAAAAGCCACTGAAGTTAAACAATTCCAAATGGTATTTGAGTGTGTGGGAGAAAATAGACATTTTCTAAGCTCAGTTTGAAGTTCTGTAGGATGAATATGAACTTAAATCAGAAAGTTTCTGTGACCATGTCACTATTTCTGAAATGTAGGAAAGACTGGGATATATCTACTCAATATTTATTTTGACTTACTTGACTGTCATATTTTGCATTACTTTATCCTCTTGCACCCCTCTCACCCTCCTGACTCCCCAGTCATTTCTTGTTACTAACTACAGGGACATTAAGTACTTGTGATCCATGCACTTCTGAAACAAATGAGAAATCCAGATTATTTCACCTGGGGAAACAGTAGGAATGCATGTTTACTAATTAAAGATGGATCTAGTTGCTATTCATTGCAAGTGTTAATCTGCAGAGACAGTGTTCCTGCTGTCAGTGACTGCTACACTGCAACTGAAATCTGTGTGGTAGGCCAGGAATGCTATTGTGCCATCAAAAAAGTCTTGTACTCTTTTGTTAGGGTATGGTTGCACCAGCAACTTTGCAGGTTGGTGATTTCTTTTTTGGGGAGAGGGGGTCAGGGTGTTTGTTTGTTTTGTTGCTTGTGTGTTTTTTTTTTCTTTAAAACTCTCAGGAGGTGTTAAGAGCCCTGCTTTTGTATTTTGAGGCAGATACTACTCAGTCATACACTTCAATGTAACTGTATTCTGGTTTTAAAGATCTAGAAAACAACTTATGATTCAAAAGTAGAAATAAGAAAGCTCTTAAAGATTATGATTAATACAGTTAACAACCAATGTTCAAAATTGTATTATTTTTTTAACCAGTTATTTTTTAAATGTAGGCACAAAATGGGGAAAAGTGCAATATTATAATGCTTAAAGGCACAATCAGTGAAATACCTTTTGCCGAATCTCTGAAGCTCCTGAGAGCTTCAAATCTCCTTATTGAGGCATAATTACAGATTTTGTTTTCTTTATGCTATAACTGAAGTAGTGACAGTGAAAGAATAGGTTGACTTACATAAACCTTTTGGTCTGGAGCTGACTCAAGAACACTATTAAAAGAAAGTTTAAAAAGAATTAAAGAAGTTACAGTGAATTTAATTTTCTCTTCTAGGAGTTGGCTTTGCCATGTCTCTGCTGGGTCCTGCTATTGGCTATGTCTTAGGAGGGCAGCTGCTTCAAGTTTATATTGATATCCAGATCCCAAAAAGGCAAGATACAACTTAGTTTATTGCTTCCTATTTTATTTTCCTAATAATTTTTATTAAAATATTCAGCTTTTCTCCCTGCGAGGAGAAGATTTTTCAGAAAATAGTGTATTTACAAGAGCTTCATTAACTTGGAAACAAGTTGCATTTATAAAGGTTTCAAGTTAGTGAGCTACTTCCTAGAGTGAGTAGTAACTCCATTGTGTGTGAAAGTTTCTCTGTAGTGCAAATAGTTTTAGTATTTAAATAGTATCTATTTTAAACCTCAGTAGCAAAAAAGGCTTTTTCTTTTGCTTAGTTGTTTATTCGGGGTTAAGCTGAATCTCCTGATGTCCTGTGGAACTGTTTCCTTGAGCTGGAATATGAGAGTTAGGATCCTTAACTCCTAGGGAAGAGCTTGCAAGAAAATCTATTTGTTGACTAATAGTCAATTTTTTTAAAGAAGTGTTATAAATTTTGCTAATGTTTAAGCCAGCAACTTAATTTACACTTTTATTTCCTCTGTTTAGAGCCTTCAAACTGATGCAGTGGCATTCTGATCTTCTGAATTGGTTTTGGTATAACTCACTGTTTATGAAGAATCTTTCTAAATCCAACATTGCCAGTATCTTCATAATGCCTCAGAATCTTGAATTCAGGGCCAAAGAATAGTCTTTAAATTGGAATGGCATTAACTAATAAATTGAAGGCTACCTTTGGCAGAATTCAATATTTTTATAGTTGCCTAGTGAAGTTGGTTTAAACAAGCAAACAATACATTTAATTCATGTAAAACTAAGAAAATAGCAATATTAAAAGGCTTTCTGTTAAAATGTATTAAAAGGAAATATTCCAGCTCACTGAAATCTGAAATTCAGAAAAGTAAACCTGCTTTTTCTGATTTACTTTTTCAGTACAAAGGTGGATCAAGATGACCCACGTTGGCTTGGAGCATGGTGGATAGGATTTCTTGTGTGCTTTTTTGCAATTTGGCTTCTTATAATACCCTTCTCATGCTTTCCGAAGCACCTACCAGGTAAAGGTTTAGCAGTACTTGGCTACTTTGGAAGAGACATTTGCTCATATTTGTAGGTTATAGAGTACTGAACTGAATGTTTCCTGTTTGATTTCGTTTATCAGTTAACTGGCTTTGACTAAAATCTGAGATCAAGTTTTTTTTTTTTGTTTCCCCCTCCAGTATGCAGCCAAAGTGAATCAGCTAGAGGGAGGATCTTGTGTATGGTGGTCTTTCCCATGGCCTGGGGGTTGGGAATAGATGATCTTCAAGGTCCCCTTTCAACCCTTGAGTCTGTGATGCTTTATAATGATGGACTGGACTGGAAACATATACCTAGCATGAAGACTGGTGTTCAAAGTTTGAAAGATGTTTGTAGTTAAGCACCCAGTACTATATTTAAAGCTTCTGTGTTACTCGCCAAGAACAATGTAAAATTCCATAAGTATCCAAAGGGACTTACTATACTAATACTGAAGTATTAGCAGAAGAAATTATGCAGGAAAAGAAAAAACAAAGTAGGAAATGGGAGAATATAAGGATGATTAAAAAAAAAAAGGGCTTCAGCATACTCTGAAGTTTTTAGGATGTCCCTGATAATATCTTCTTGTAGCCAAGACCTTCCAGTGGAAGTATGATGCTTTCAATAAGTCTTCATTCGAGAATACAGTATTAATCGCTTTTAAAATCTGGACCAATAAAACAGGCAAGAAGACCTATAATATCTGAAACAGTTTTCCCAGCTAAAGGAAAAACAAATTTTTGTAGTTTTTTGACATTGTCTAAGAGTGCAGGTATTCAATGTTTTCATTGTCAATAAATATGACCATTTGTAGGAACTGCAAAAATTCAGGCTGAAAAAATCTCAGAAACTCATGATGATGGAGGTCAGGTACTGGTACAGACCAAGAATATTGGACAAAGTTTTAAAGACTTTCCTATGGCTCTCCTGGTAAGAAAAATCTCAAATTTGCTGAAACTGAATATATTCTGAGAAATGAAATTATTTTCCAGATGTTAGAGGTCTCTAGAAATGGCTTATTATGTTGTGATAGGAAAATTACTGATAATTTAATGCACATTCATTTTGTTGATGCTTGAGATTGTTAGAAAAGCATATTACTGAAGTTCCATTTCAGAGTATCTACTTTTAAAATACAACAATTTCCACTTTAGTTGGTACCAAAATCAAATAATATTCAGAGTGTTTTGATAATTTCTCCCCATAGATACTCCTGAGGAATCCAGTGCTTATGAGTCTAATAATAGCCAGTTCCTCAGAAGCTTTAGTTGCCACTGGATTTGCCACATTTCTACCGAAGTTTATAGAAAATCAGTTTGGAAAGTCGTCGAGTTCTTCAGCAACTCTTGGAGGTAATATGGCTTTTTAATTTTAGATCTTAAATATATTGAGTTGAACACTTCATTAATGTTTGAGGTGGAAGATTATATGGGTATCTTTTTTGTATGAGATATTTGTGAATGTACTTAGATGGAATGTAGTAATCAGAACAGTATTTTTGTTATTCTTGCTTGTCCTTAAGTACTCTAGTCTACTTATTCAAAGTAGATTGAGAATTTTGTGTGCTGATGAAACTTTTAGTTTACTATTAGTTTATTCTTTTCTTATTCTTGGTGAAAAATGTTTAAATTTCCTTTATCTAAAATTGGCTGAAGGAATATTAGTGTCTTAGTCCCTACTAAAACAATCAAGATGAAGGGCAGCTAGGAAAAAAAAGCAGTGCTTATCACAAATAAGAAGTTGACTTTGCTTTTCTCTTCTTTAATTCCACACTGACATTACAATGGATTTGCAATAAAATGACTGATCAGAATATATAATCTGTTATGTAACTGACTGTATAGTTGGCTTACTGTCATCTGTTTATTATCTGATATGCAGAAGTAATAGGTAGAACAGGAAAGAGCTATGAAAAACTGAGTATTGGAGAAACAGAAAACATCAGATGGAAGAGCTGTGCTCAGTAGGTTCCCTTCACTGATACAATTAATTCTGAAGTATAGTGACCAGGTTAAGGCAGAAATGCCCATAAATGCTAACAGCTGCTTTCAATATGCAGATATAATATTCCTAGAATGTGTCTTGTTAAGCTGTAGAGTCTTGCATTATAACTATGGTAGTTGAGCTGCTCTTTTTCCAACAGAAATATGTTTGGGAAAGACTTTCTGAATTACTTCTTTGGGTAGTACTAGATAGTATTGTTGCATCAAAACAAAGCATCTGTAAGTTTTATATAAAAACACATTGGAATATATGCTCAGCTGTTAACCAAAAACTAGGAGTGAAGTGAAAAACTGAGTGTTGCTGTTTTTTTGTCCATAGACCTTGACTGAATGTCTTTGAGTTGAAAATATTGACAGTGCTAATTAAATGTACAGCTTTAAAAAAATGCCTACAGTAATGTTGAAAGCTGTCTGTACCTGAACTGACCTAATTAGTTTAAGCATTACCAATGACCATGGAAACTATTTAAACTGTCATTGACTGTGGTTTGTGGAATGCCCAGGTCTGTGGCCTGAGCAGTTTTGTCACTGTACCTGAACTGTCTGTGCAGGTAGCTGTCTCATGTTGGTGTAAGTTACACTGAGTTCTGTGTTGTATAATAGATCAGCCATATAAAAATGCTCAGTTATTTATCTGGAGTGCAAAGAGGATAAATCCTTGTGGACTATATGGACTATGAGAGCAAAACTGACCCACTGATCTAGACTTGTTTAAATCTTTCAGTAGATGACTTCTTGCATCTTGTGTGCTGTCGCTTGTGTAATAGTGTTTATGTTCTTTTATTAAAACGTTCCTAACAGATTTATAAGAAAGAACATGGGCATGTCATAAAAACAGTGAAAGAATGAAACAGGATTTTCTGTTTTTGTGGGGACACCTACTGGTGTTCAGAGACTCCCACCCCATAGTGCTTCTAAGTCATCTGTCTAGTTTGGCTATGTTGAAGTTAGGTTTTGGACAGCTATAAATTACACTTCCAGTTAAACCTCTGGAAAGGCTAAAGGTGGTGTAACAGTAGAATAAATTACTCATATAGTTAGATTCTGGTAGTATGACTTGAAAACAATATCACATGGACTGCATTTTGGAGGTAACTGTTTTGATTTTTTTCTTAGCATAAAATTGCTCACAGTTAAGTCTTGCATTTTTATGTAACTACTCCTTGTCTTGTTTTCCTCTAGGACTTGTACTAATTCCAGGAGCAGCGCTAGGCCAAGTCATAAGTGGTGTCTTGGTTTCCAAATGCAAAATGGATTGCAAAAGCATAATCAGATTCATGATAATCACCTGTTCAGTGGCCTTAATATTAAACACAGTGTTTTTATTTGCTAAATGTGGGAACGAACCTTTTGCAGGTGTCTCTGAAACATATAAGGGGTAAATATATTTTAATGCACTCTTGGGTTTAATGTTAATATTTATTTAAATCTCTTAGTTTTAAATAGTACACACCAGCAGGGTTTAAAAGGAGAAGGAGGGCAACTAGCTATTCCAGAAGTCTGCTCTCAAGTGGTCAGTTATTCCACCATAAATTAACAGAGCCATGGGCAACACCAGCTGTTTGAAGGTCTGCCAAAGAGCCAGAAGGTGCTGTGCAAATAACTCAAGTAGGGTGGTACCAAGGGACTGCTAGATGCCATATTAAAAAATCATAGGCATGAATTGTATGCTGTGTAAGTTGGTAAATAACTTAGAAATACCTTTTTATTGTTTTCCCAAGTGCCCCCTTTTATGCAAAGGCTAGATACTGCTATCTTCTATAAAAGCATAATCTGGTAGTTGTTCTCCAATTCATAAAGACACTTGAAGCTAAATGAGATAGGGAAGAGGAGTGGTGCAGTTTGCTGACACAGTAGCATAATATGTACCATGAAAACACAGAAGATGGGCTGGAGAGGAAATTGGTTTTGTAACCTCTAATGCCCATGCAAGTTAATGGGAAGTAGAAATTTACTGGTATGCAAAAGTATACAAAGTGAATTAACAAAGTTCCATACACTGGTGACTGGAAGAAAAAAAGAATCCTTAAAGCCCAAAAAAGCCAAGTTATGACTCATTCTGATTTCATCTTTAAAACTTGCTGTATAAATTGACAGTATATTTAAAAGCCAGTGTTGAAATTGGATTACTAAAATATGGCTTTGCTTCAGTGTCAAAAAATTCCAGCAGACAGATGACACAGACAACTCAGAACTGTGAATCATAATTCAGATTATGGAAATCTTATAGTTACACATTTAGCAAAAGAATCAGTAGTCATCAGTAAAATGCTGAAAATATAGTATAGAAAATGGTATATGAAATTACCCATATTTTTATATCAGGTCCTACGATAACAGGCAGCTGACAAAAGTTACAGCTGAACTGATCTTCATCCTCAGTTAAATATCGCTAACTTGTATTTTAGAGCTTTGTGTAACTTTATAAGTTATGTAGCTTAACTGTTGTAAAGGTTATTTATCTACAGCAATTGGAAGTAAACCAGTCCTGAACTATATCTCTTCCCTTGATATCCACTATAAAAAAGTCTCATTTCTGCCTTACTCAGTGTTACATGTTGGATTATACTTTACTGGATGTGTGCATCAGAATAGTTAGTGGCACTAATACAGTGCCAGTTCTTAAACTGTTTGCCATGAAGAAATAAAATATGTAGCAGTAGCTTTAAGAAAATAATAAATTTATAAACTTGTGGAAGAACAGCCAAGTGTTTGTCTTCTGCTTATGCTACTGAACAAATGCTTCTGAATGAAAAAATTATGAGACTGCACTGAGACTTGGATTCCTTGACTTGGAATTTGATGTAGATTTTTGTGGAGAATTTAAAGAAATCCTTCATGGCAAGCATTATCTTCTTATTGAAAAATAGCTTAGAAAGGTGAGGGTAGCTTTTGCAGGTTTAGTCTCAGAATTACATGAATACAGGATCACTTGTTTGTGTTAATGAAAACAACATCTTACTTTTAGTAACACTGTTTATTACTAAATTAGGCTATCAGCAGAACTAACATAATTTTGTCCAACATGCACTTCAAAGAATTGGTTTTGCCAAATTCTATTGCCCAGCGCTTCCTTGAAAACTTGAAGGAACAGAAATGCAGTGACTATTTCTGTACCTCATTTATTTCCACATGTCTGTGGGACTCTTGTTGAAAAACTCCTATAGAGTTTTTTAATGAGCAATTGATGGTCTCATCTGCTAGATTTATAAGAAAAGCCAGGAGTATCTTTTTTTGTTGTATTTTTCTCTTACTGTGTTCAGTAAGAGAATGTTCAGTCCCTCTTTGGAGGTCCGAGAAGGAGACACTTCACATGTGTATAGGACAATTGCCACCAAATATGTCTAGGCTTTGCATTCCTCATGGGCTAGGAAGGTACTGAAAGTACTGATCTCCTATGGTGCACTGTAGTTCATTCTTCATGTTTAGAAGAATTGAAGTTAATTTGCTTAGGCTTGAAGCAAAAATTAATTTAGTGCGATTCTGCTGAACTACAACAAAATGGATTTTATATGTAGTTATGATGTCCCTAATACTCCATTTGAAGTTTAAATGTATGTAAGTTAATTCCTAGATAAACTATTTCTATTAGTATTTTTGCCATCTCAAATTCTCACAAATAAACATACCTTTAGATAATTAATGTGGAAATTTAATTTTACAGAGCAATATTTAAACTCTAATGGCAGTGTCAGTATCCTGGTTTTAGCTGACTGAACTTTTAACCTGTGAAAATTCTTTACTTATGAATGAACTACTATTAGAAAATCAAATGATGTGTTTGTTTTCTCTGGTTTGCCTTAGGACAGTCCTCACACAAACCAAAATCATTTTTCATGCTAATAATACAGTGGGACTACTTCAAATAAAACCATATGATTACCTATATTGGAAGTAAATTGAAAGTAAATACAGTGTGTAAGAGTTAAAGTAAATTCTGTTATTAATTATTCCCTAAACAGCCAGAGGAAATCTTTAAGGCCCTTCAGGGTGTGTCATTGCACTCTGCATTTAACATGTGCAGTTGTCTTTGTGCTCATACAATTTAGATGTTTGCATGGCAGTGTTAGAAATAGTAAAAATGAGGTAGCTTTGCAACTGGACTCAAATCAAAAAAAGGGAAAAATCTTGGAGTATGATCAGGAGAATAAACACCTCCAAATACTGGTTTTAATCTTGGTTTTTTTCTTGAAATTATAAATTGAAGAAATTCAAATTCCTAAGTGGGAGGGAGAGGATGAAATGAGTTGGACTGAGATGCAGAATTTTGTCGTCTCTTTTGTGAGTTGAAATTGGAGGAATGGTCTTTGGATAGAATAACAGCATAAAAATAACTAGGTGTATAATAAATGGAAGATCTAGAGCTCTAACTACTATGCTTACTTTTAAACAACTAAGTGCATAAATAACATGAATAGAGTATTTTAAAATTTATTATGCTATAAATCCTGCTTTACTTATTTACATATCTTCTGTTTTTCAATTGCTTTATTAAAAGACTATGAACTTCTGCTTTTCAGAACAGGCACTCTATATAACTTAACAGCACCATGCAATGCTAACTGCAGGTGTTTACGCTCCGTATACTACCCAGTTTGTGGCAGTGATGAAGTCCAGTACTTTTCTCCCTGTTTTGCGGGATGTGCCTCATATGTTTTTAACAACATGAAAAAGGTATTTTACACAATGAAGATAGCTGACATGGTTTGTTCTGGTTTCCTGTATAATAAACTCAAGAGAGAAGCATTTTCATCACTGTTGATTAACTGAACTGGCATAGCTGTTTGTTTTCTGTATAGTTTTCTGTGCTACAGTTCTGTCATTCACAGCCTGCATTGTTCTGTGAGTTTTCTGGGCACAGCAGTCTTTCCCACCTTCTTTCATTGTGAAGGTTTACTGCTTAGCCACAGTGTTTCTCACTTGTGCGATGTCATTCTCCAAGTGTACATCTACATCTACCAGACTTCCTAATGCTGAAAATAAGTTAGCTTTAAATGTACTTTAAGTAGAATTGACAATCAGAAAAGTCAGCAATTGTCTTGAAGTTCTGAAGAACCTGAAGTTCTTACCTAGATCTTTAAGCAAAATGCAATGTTTATTGTGTACATGACAACCTGTTTCGTGAGTTTTGAAAACTTGAATGTCAATAGCCCCTGATGCAGTAATGGTAAGCTATGAAAGTGCCTAGGCTATTATCAAGCCTTCCTGGAACTGAAGGGCTTTCTCTGTTTGGCTGTACTGGTACAGTAAACTCTTGAGCAGGGATGTGGGAGCAGTATAAAGAGATCCAAAAGGCAAGCTGACCCAAGACAGGCCTTTATACTTTTTATACTGGAAAATGAGAGACGGTATTATCCATAAGAAAATGTAGGCTACTAACTACTTCTTGCAGTTGAAATTTCACACTTCGCTGACACATATTTTTCTTTGAAAACAAACTGTGGATTTAGATGAAGAGCATGTTCCATTTGTTCATCTGCATATGGAAGTGGTCCTATATTACTTCTATTCTTTACTGCTTAATTCTTAAGTGTAGCGCTTACCTCTGACTTCTGCATATGGTTTGCCTCTAACTTCTGCATATGGTTTGCCTCTAACTTCTGCAAATTTTTAATCCTTGTAGCTAAAAGCTTACAAAGAATACAAAATGGAGGCTATCACTGTCTTTTTAGGTCAGAAATACAAAAATACCGTTTGCTCAGGTGAGGTGGATCAGTCAAGTATACTGGTGAACGAGTTTTAAAAATTAGTGTTAGTATCATGTGCTCATCAGGAAGTTGACTTTCCCATATGGTAAAGTCAGGGTTTATTCTTGTCTTGGGTGATGCAAATGTAATGAAAATTTACCAAAATATGTCATTTTGTGTCATTTTTGGAGATAAATTTTGTCTTACAAATTATTTGTAGACATACCACAACTGTTCCTGTATTGGGAAACCAAAAAGAGGAAGTGGTTCAGAAGACTTTCTCTATGAAGCTGTCCCTGGGAAATGTCCAACACAATGCAAATTTTTACCTTTATTCCTGGCCATCTTCTTTTTTGCTGTTGTTTTTACATTTATGGCTACTACTCCAACAACTGTGGCCATTCTCAGGTATGTTTTTTGGTCTGTAAGAAAGGTGACATTCTTTTGAAAACTACTATCAGTGAAATAATTCTTTTGCTTTGCAGTGTCGTATTTGAACAAGGTTGTGTAGTAAGCTAGCAGTACTTTAAAGAGAGGATAGTCATACCACTGTTCACTCTTGTTAGAAGATAAGTTTTGAATTTATTTAAAAAATATCTTTCTAGCATACAGAAAATTCATTTTATGGGAGCACTCTTGACTATTTTAGTTAAAGCAAAAAGGAATAAATGTGCTGTGTGCTTCGATGAAGAAAATACTTGACTAGCCTGTTTTTTGATAGTGTCAGCATTTAAAATTATATCAGGAAAAGGACATAATAATAATTAATCTTGTATTTTCAACCTTAAATTCCTGTCTCAGTCCGGAGTTCTAGCTTGAAAAATTGTAGTCTATCAAGGATTATAGACTGTTTCTCATGTTATTGATGTTGTATGTATGATGGTCACTAATATAAAATGTGATAGTGAGTTAACCAGTGTTTTTGCTCCTTCAAAACAGTGTTTTTGCTGCCTTTCAAATTGCTGAAACTTAGATGTGTGAAAGCTAGATTTTTTTGTTTTTAAAGTGTGTTTCTTATTCTGAATTTAGAGCTGTTTTGTGTTATGTTAAAGTTTGACTTGCAGTTCTATTACTTCCAGTGAAAAGATAGCCATGATGCAGAAGCATATTGCTCTGTGAGGATGTGGCTAGGTGTCCTTTGGCAGGAGGCTGAGGAAATCAGCAGCATCGTACAACAGTGCTTTGTAATAGCCTCCTGGCAGGTTTGGTGTAAATCTGGAATTAACAGCTTAGTGTGAGGGTAGAATAATGTGAAGTTCTGCATTATCTTCAAAATTGAGTTGATATAGTTTTATTTCAGTAATTCTAAGCAGTAGCATTTGGATATTTGAATCTTTATATAATTTGGCTGAAATAGTAGAACAGTTTTTATGGAAAAAAGGATTGTAGGTAGATAAATTTTTCAAGAACTAATTTAAATAGCTAAAATGTCAGTAATTTTTACAGTATATTGATATCTTTTCAGTGAGCCTATTTTGTGCAATTTCAAATGTAAACTTGCATATTCATGACAGTGTTGTACTACTAGAACTAATCACCTGCATGATGTGGAACTCATTCTCCTTCTTTTAATTGTCTTTAAGCATAATAGAATCCTAATATACTTTCTTCTTTATATATAGTAGCTCAGGATTGCATCCTAGCACTGTTTTAATTTCCTTGGTTCTTCCATGGAAAAATGTTCAACAGTATATCAGGGTGCTGATAGCAAACTTCCTTTTTCTTTATACTATTTTATAAAACTAGTTAAATCTAAAATTTCTTGATGGGCTACTGGTGTTTTTCCTGTCTTTTATCTAAACATTACTTGAAATAATTGGGTTACTTGTTCTGCACACTGGATTTCTAAACTCAGTAGCTAACAGGTTAAAAGAGTACATAGAGAAAAATTATATTCACTCAGGGACACAGCACAAAGTGGGACTTGTTTACTCTGTGTTAAACTGCAAATCTTATTTACAGGTGTGTGCCAGATACACAGCGCTCATTTGCTCTTGGAGTACAGTTAGTGGTTCTGCGGCTACTGGGTATGACTTTCTTGTTGAAATATTTGCATCTGAATAATCTACTTATTTGACATCTTTTTCTAGACTTTAAAATAATGCCTTAAAAAGCTTTCAGAGGTGCTTGAAGAAGTCTGTCATTGGCTTATAGGATACATGTAAGGTAACATCTGTGTTCAGATTCATTGTTAATAGGGCATGCATGCTCTCTTTAGCCTTTATCACTCTTATGAGCACAAACCAAGTACAGATAAATGTCATTCTTTCAGTAAAAGACAACTGGTGCTACTTTCCCTGGAAGAAGACCTATTCTGAAAGCTGAGATAACAAAAACTGATGTAATAGGAAACAGTTTCATGTAGCATCTGAAATCCAGAAGTTAAAAGAAATGTGAATATGTGGACCTTTCCTCTTCTTCCTTCCTTTAAAATGTCTTGAGTAACTTTAGCTTTTATTGAGATTGTAGATAGTTGTACATAAATAATTTCAGAGTATGATGTGGGAAATATAATACTTAAATTCTATATCTAAGCAGCTCCAGCATTTCATTAAGACAGATGACTCTGCTTAAGTAAAACAGAGCTAAGGGTATGTATTTTCTGGTCCACAAGCATTTGAATTTTCTCAGGCATAATTAGAATTCTTATTTAATTATCTTTTTAAATGGTATATTTAATTTAAGACTGGGACAAGAAACAGTTGTTGATTGGACTTTTATGCCAATATTTAGTACTGCAGGCATTCCTTCTCCTTTGAGATTACATATGTAACACTCGCAGTGTGAGTTCTGCCTTGCTCTGTTCAAACTATGATTAATCTAAGTCATTCTACTGATAAAGTGTAATAAAAGCAAACATCCTCACAGGTAGAAATAAGCTGGAAGACTGTGATTAGTGTTGTATGAAGGTCCCTCTGTTTCACTTTACTCAGAGTTCAGATATTTATGCTAGATCTCTAACTCCTGACTTCACTGTGGAGTGATAGAACTTTTTGCACTGTCTGTACTGTGACTGAAGAAGGCAGTAACTAACAGCATTACTTGCCAGCAACATATTTTTGCTGTAGGCTTTAAGAATCACACAGGAGTTTTAGGCTGAAGACCTAGTGAGGGACATAGCCACTTGGTTAGCTCTAGTAGAGTTTAGGCCTTAGGTAGGTTGAGTAGACGTGCAGTGATGTACCTGGTGTGTTTTTCTAAAACTAGCTATACTTGGATGCAAGACACTTGGGCATTGTAACACACAAAAATCACATGGAGTTAATAAAATCTGTACAAGAATAATTTTAAACACTGCTTTTTTTTAGTGAAATTTTTACTGGAAGCTTTGCTACATATGAGGAATGGGGAGAAATATGTAATTGAACATTTAACATAATGATATTTTAGTTCTTTTAATTTGAAATAGATTGGTGTGTATGATCAGAAGAAAGGAACTTTTTTCCTTTCAGCTAAGTTCCTGGTTTCTTGATTAGTTTTTTTCACCATTGATTTATTTTTTTCCAATGAAGACAGAGGAAGTTAAGAAGCTCAAGTCTTTGAATTAATTCCTTGATTAACAAAGTGAAAGCTGTATAATGAATAAACTCTCTCCATCCTATCTGTTAACTGAGAGCAATGTTAGGTGCAGACTTACAATGTAATATGAAGCCTATGACTTTGATTAAAATACTATGTTTAGCATTTGGTTCTCCCAGTTTATCTTCCCCACCAACTTGGCATTTCATTGTATGCATGAAAACTAGTATGCCAAGGAACTCAAACATTCTAACATGTTGCTGTGTTTTTTAGGTACTATTCCTGGACCAATTTTGTTTGGTGTTGCTATAGACAAGAGTTGTACTCTGTGGGATATTAATGAATGTGAAACTAAAGGAGTTTGCTGGGTATATGACAATGAAAGAATGGCTTATTTGCTGATGAGCATAAGTAAGTCTTTTATATTAAATACGCATACTAGGCAATATATATTCTGACCCTGTCTGCTAGATGGGAATTAATTTGATATAAAACCTTGCACTTTTTAGCAGCAGTGTTTTTTAACATATTTTCATACATTTTCAGCAAGATATTATGGGAGAAACACCACAGTAACTAAACCTTAAAGGCTGCTTTAAAAACTCTTCTAATAATAGCACAAAATAATTTTTGTCTTGATCTTGCTTCGTTGTCACACTTTATTTACTAGATTTTTAAGGGACTGGCTCACATTTCAGTCTGTCTTCAGGGCAATGAGCATGATTAGGGGTGTGAAGATGGTAGGAGGGATGGAGCACCTTGCCTATAAGGAAAAGGCTGAGAGAATTTGGTTTATTGAGACTGGGAAAGTGAAGTCTCCAAGCTGACCTTACTGTGGCCTTTCAGTATCTGAAGGGCATCCTACAAGAAAGATAGAGAAGGACTCTGTAAGAGAGCATAGCAATGGAACAGGGGGTGATGGATTGAAATGCAGATATTAGTTAGATGTTAGGAAGAAACTGTTTACTGAAAGAATATCCAGGCACTGAAGCAGGTTGCACAGGCAAGGTGTAGATGCCCTATGCCTGGAAGTGTGCAAGGTATGGGGCCCTGAGCAGTCTGATCTAGTGGAAGGTGTGCCTGCCCCCAGCACAAGAGTTGGAAGTAGACAGACTTTAGGTTCCCTTCCAACTCAAATTATTCGTGATTATCTGGGTTGCGTGTTGGCAGTTAAGGTCTGGGGAGCTTTCTTCCTCTTTTTGCATTTCACTTCTCCATAACTTATATGAAGTTCTTGAAAATATCTCTTAACACTAGTGAGAAAAATTCCTGACTTGTGTAACTGTTTGCTCCCTTCATATGTGAGGTATATAGACCAGTGGGAGAGAGGGTGTTTTAGTTTCTGGAGTAGAGAATATTGATATAGCAAATGACAGTACTGAAACAAGAAATAAGAAAGATTTGCACTTCAGGCAAGAATAAGGTGAAAAAATACAGAATTGGAAGAAAGCAAAAATTAGCAGGCAGGTGAGGGGTCTAAATTCAGCTGTATGACTCTTTATCTGCCCTTTGACATTCATGTAGAGTACATTGAAATGGAGGCTATGAATTTCAGTCTTACAGGGTGTATTTAACTCACCATATGAAGCTTTATAAATGAGTGAAACACTGTCTGCTACTGAAAGTGAGTGTGATAAAAACTCTCCTGTTCTTTGCATTCAGGTGCTGCTTGCAAAATCGTCACAATCGTCTTTGTGGTCATGGCAGTGTATTTCTACAAGCCTCCACCACTAACTAAAGTCCTGTCACAAAAGACTTCAGAAAAGATATCTGTTATGCACACATAAATTATGAGCAAATCAGGGACTTTGAAAGAAAACTGTAAAAATAAACATTATTACAGTACTTGTACCAAAGTTCTTGTATACTGTTGCCTAAATATAAAAGATCATATTCAATATTTGAACAACTTAAAATATTTTGAATCTGTAGGTTTCTTTAATTTGCTAGACATTGTTTAGTATTCCATTGTGGCTGTCCAAAGAAGTTACACTGAAATTTGCAGTCTAATTTTAGAAGTCTAGTATGTAACTTAATTGAAATGAGATGGAATACGCTGATCATAAAACAGGAAAAATAAAGTGAACTGAGCTGACTGAGCCCTGTTGATCCCTAAATGTTACTATAGTGGGAGAAAACAAGTAAGGGAACTGTGTATATTTAAAAAGGATTTAATTTGCACATAATCTGGGCTAGTGCCTTTGGGGATTTTTCTGTAGGAACTCTTGGGATGTATAAGTTTTGTTATGTTTTATGAATATTTTTACATGTTACCTTAATGGCATAAGTTCATATTTTAGTATTTGTAGGAAAATGTAAATAGTTATGATAGAATAGCTGGGTTGCAAAATCAAAGTATTTGTTAATTTAAGTACTTGAGTTTCTATCTGGAACATATACAGAAACTTGCCATTCAGCTGCTTTATTTAAGCATTCTAAAAATGTTTCTATAAAATTTTAAAATAAAACCTATTTTCTTACTGCAACTGTGTATGCTTTGTCATTTCTAAATGTGACTGAATTCTTCTTGACTCCAAGAAACATGATGAAGGCTAGCAAGAATGTGTATGGAAGTATCAAAAGTAAAATATGGCTTCATTTTCTTTTTGACTTACATTACATTTCTATTGAGTCTTGTTATTAAAGCCATATTTGTCTAGCACAATGCAATTGGTCATAATTTAGCCACTGTTATCAGACATTAAACAATGTTGCATAGTACTGAAGTATCATTCAATATTGACAGGAAAATTTCAATGAGTAAGATATCCTCTACACGTGCTTTACTTTTGTAGCATTTTTCTTCTGTTGCATTGGCTGTTCACAGCATTCTTGTGAAACTGCATGCCCTCTTCTTTGGATTACAAGGACTGTGTTCAGTGACTCAGTCAAGATTTTTAAATAAGTGCTAGAACAAAGAATTATGACGTGGCTCAAGTTTCATCTAATTCTTTAATACAGTTGTTAAATTAGGTAGAGGTTAAGTATGCAACTCAAGAAGATCCTCTATTGTAAATAACGATTCAGAAAATAAAATTAACTACACCCTATGTGAAAGTACAAGACTTGATGGCTTTTGAGGGAGAGAAGGAAAGGGGCAGGATTTGCTTGCTTCAATACAGATAAATGTCTCCTGATAAGTTTTGTGCTTGTTTCCTAATGAGTGGGCTCATAGGAAGAGCTGAAAGAATTAAATACTGATTCTGCTTAGTGGCCTAAAACTCTAAATTGATTTTCTAGCTCTGACATGGTTTGTGTTGAGTGTAGCAGATCATTAAAAGACATATAGTACTGTAGTTCAACTGGTAAACTTGTTTCTTTTTCTCTGTCCTAGACTCTGAGATTAGAGTTTCTGCTGCTTAATGTGATTGCATAGACTACAAAACTTGTGGGGCAGAGCAGTGAGAGCTTTCTCTTCTGAAGTTATCAGCAGTTTTCCTCTGGAGTGATTATTTAGGGGGAGAAAGAAGGAAGATTATAATTTATAATCTAGTTTTATGACACATTAAACATTTCCCTTGCTGGTTTAGGACTATCACAATGACTAGATGATAGACCAAAGAGGAGTTTATCCATTTACTTGTTTCACAGCAATATGTATTCTGTTGTGGAGGCAAGTAGATGTTGTGTCAAAGGTTTCACAAAGTAAAGGTAAACATCACAGACAAGTGTGTTATGTGTATCCAGACAGGGATGGTGAGCTAAAAGTGTCCCAATATATGTGCCCAGAGTGTCAAAGCAAAAAGTCCAGGTTGAGTCAACTAGTGCTGAACCCCACAGATCAATACTGGGGCTAGTAAAATTCAGCTCTTCTATGGTGACCTGAATGGTGGGATATATTGTGCTCTGGAGAAGTGATTGATAAACTGGCTGATTGCTGCCATTGAGAGGGAGCTTTACAAGATTGAGAAAGGGACAAACAGGAACCTCATTAATTTCAACAAAGTACAAAAGCCTGCACCTGTGGGAAAAATAATCCCATGCACTGGTAATATGTACGGGACCACAGAGCTGGAAAGCAGCCCTGCAGAGAAAGCCCAAGAGTTCATGGTGGACACAATCTGACCACAAACAAGGCAGCGATACACATTTCCTGCAAAAAAGGCCAGGAATGTCTTTAATGTGAATTAGGCAAAGCACTGATAGCAGGTCTAGGGAAGTGATGCTGTCCTTAGTCAGTGCTGGTGTGATTGCATCTGGAGTGCTGGGACCAGGTCTGGGATATCTGGGGTATTCAGAGCAAGGCTGTTACAGACTCACTGGAATGAGTGTGGTGCAGGACTACAGAGAAGATTAAGGGACAGGAGTATCATTCATACTGAGACCTAGGGAAGTTCCTTCTGCCCACCAGATCAGGCTCAAGGAGCCTTAAAGAGGTAGAAACCACACCATTATTAATTTCCAGCTTTCTGGAGAGTTAGGAGGCAGTGCACACCAAGTGAACACCTGAAATTTCCTCTGAAGACAAGAATTTTTTTTAAGTGTGAAGATGGTCAAACATTGCAATAAGTTGTTCAGGAATTTGTTAAGCTATTCTTGGTGATTTTTAAAATCTGACTGGACATAATCCTGAGTGATCTATTCTGGCTAACTTTCCTTGAGCAGAGGGTTTTGACTAGATGATCTCAAATGTTCCACCCCAAATGATTCTGTGTTTCTGTGAGATGGTCGTCAGTGAGACTTTTGCCCCATTCACTGTATGATGTGAAGCTTCTATATGTGTTCTTACAAGGACAGAGACCTATCTGGATTTTCACAGTATTTTTTTGTTTCTTTTCTTGGGTTTTGGTGCTTTTTTGGCTGTTTGTTTAATATCAGCTCATATCTCATATTAGTATTAAACAACACTTAGTCTGCTGGTGGGTTTTAGAGCAATATTTCAAGTTACAGTTGTGTTTTCTTCAGAATGTCTAACAGCTTTGCTCCTAGGCACCCCCTTCTGCTTTTTCAAATCATTTAGCCCAATGTTGTACCCTCCCCTGTTCCAATCCATCAACCTAAGTACATATCCCCTTTTCCAGCCCCTTCTGTGTCAATCTCCATAGTCCTACCCTTTTTCCTCATCAATCAGTGTAAACCCTATCTGTTTCTTCAGAAATTTCCCTGCCATTTATGTGACCCCTGCATTCTCATTGGTTGTATTTTCTCTTCCCCCTTATCCCCTCATTGATAATGGCACGTTGTAATCCCGCTTTTTACTCCTCCCCTGAGAATTGATTGTAATCTCCACCCCTGTTACCACCTCCCTTTATAAGTTCCTGTACAGCCCTATTCAGGGCTCTTGTCACTGCCTGCCTTTGAGTTTGCCTCTGTTTGCTGCAGTGTGTCATCTTCTCTCCCCTCCTTGTATGTGTCTCCAAGCTGCCTTTATTCCATCCCGTTCGGTGGAATAAAGGCAGTTTGGAGATGCGTACGGGGGCCCTTCTCTTTTCCTTTGCCACAGCCCTCGGTGTGGATTGCTTCATCAGCCGATTTCAGTATTAAGAGGTCCCAGCTTGTGGCCAAACCACTGCCCTCTGCCAGCCGGTGGCTGAGGTGGGGAGTGCCCACTCATGGCGTGTGTCCAGGGGAGGAAGCGAGAGCCAGCCAGCTGAAAGTTTCTCTCCCCTGGGGTTGGACACAGTGTCAACTCGGCAATTAATACTCTCTGTATGGCTCGCTCCATGATTGTAGTTCTTTTCATGGTAACAGTGATAAAACATTTCAAATAGAAATTGTGTTTTTCACATGCTCTGTGAACTGCTATTTAGAGTAGTTGGACTGCTAAATTCATAGACTCTTATCTTTATCTTTGAGATTTATGAATTACCACAGATTTGGAGTTAAAGAAATTCAGGTATTTTCCAAAATAGGGATGGTTTAATTAAGACATTTTGAAAGTTATGTCTTCTAACTAGCATGATTACTTTTAGAAACATATCCTACTGTGAACAAGACTGTCCAACTAAATAGTAGTAGAACAAACATTGTAATTCATCTGTGAACCAGAAGTAAGTTTCTAAAACTAAGTACATTGCCATGTATGGCTAGAGCAAATAATTATCCAAAAGTTTACTGGAGCTGCTGCCCAGCATATATATAGAATTCATGCGTTACAAGAGAGTGACTGTAATTTACTGTTACAGGTGAGATTAAACTGATCTAAACTTTCTCAGTTATTCTATGTTTTTTAATCTCAAAACCAAGACTGCAAACTGCATTTTCTCTCATTTGAAGTGGAAGGATGATGATAAGATAACCTCAGCCTCTGTCTGGACAGTGAAAGCAAGCCATTGTTTAAAAAGGTTTTGCTTGAAAACTTCTCTAAATTTAATACCATAGCGCCAAAATTTACTTGCAATGGCAAGAGTACATTTTTTCTGGTATCATGAATACTGAGAAAGGGAAAATAGGAACTTAGTTTTGCATGTGGCTACCATAAATATAATTACTTAAAACTTTAAAATATTTTGCATACATGCCTGGTTTCTGAGGTATCTTTGCACATGACTGAAATACCTGAACAAAATTACCTGAAATATGTTGCAAATTCATATAGGAGATAAAGAAGGTTACACTGGTGATGTTTTTTCTTCCTAGTCAAGGTAATGACCTGCATTTGAAGAGCTTTGTAAATCAGTTATTTGCGTCTACCAGAACACAAGGACTTACAGTTGATTGCTTAGGCACAAAATCTGGAAACAAATCTGGTAGTGGAAACATTGCAGCGTGTAATAGGTGTTGTGGTTTATCCCCATCTCACAACTAGGCCACAAAGTGCCAATGTTTTACTCTTTTTTGGTGGGAG